CAATCCTTTGCTGAACAATCAAGATGGCGGTCTACATAAATTGATGAAAAATTGAATATCTAGAGAATGAGAAGTGATATAAAAAAACTGTAAATTGCATGTCCTTACATTTGCCGAGCTCTTCCATCGAGGAATATTATGTTGTTAGCCTTGACTTTCACTTTAACAGGTCAGAATATTGACCATGGGCATTTCTTTAACACAATGTAGACATTCTGAAGTACATTGTATGATCTGTTGGCACTGATTTTAATGAAAAAAAGGGGTGAATTTAAAAAAAAAGAGGTAATTCACAACTTTTGAAATGTAAACTTAGTGTGGAGGAAGTACTTAACACTTTTCACAGGTCACATTGAAACATATTTACCCATTCATAGCTCATTAATGGTAGTCTCAATGGATTCACTGATTATTCAGGAAAGTGAAGCAATGTTCACTGACCAGGTTTCATGACTTGACCGTCACATTTTTGCCACATCTTTATTTTTAAGATTAAATCCATTAAAAAAACAGTCTGGGCGTATAACCAGCGATGCACTTAAATTTATTAAATGTCTAAAAATAAGCGGGTGGCCTTACATTGTATACCCAAGGAGGGGATTATGACAAGGGACGGTAGTAGAACAGAAATAGTATTTCAATGTCTAATGTTTAATATCTATCGAAAGGTAATACATCAATGAGTATAATTCTAATGAATTGTATTGTCTCAAGATAGTACATTCACTTGCGAGCAAGGTTTCAATGTTTTCACTATGTTTGAATTGCTGATATCAAAGGTTATAACAGTGTACACACTTTAGCTGGCACAACATGAAAACCATTTGTGATCATTACTTGGCAATGGCTGTGACACTATTTTTATGTAAACAAAACATTTCCTCAGAAAAGGGGATAAACATATATTAGATTTTGAAAATATTTTGATTTTCTTATTTCAATGAGTCCAAATGAGTTTAGTGGTTAGAAACTCTAGAATGTGTATGGTAGAAAAGCTGTTCAGTTATATTGTTATCTTATTTTTTAACTATTTTCTTGTTTGTTTGCTCTATCAAATCTGCTTTTTAGCTCCGCTGTCGACTTTGTCGAGCGGAGCTTATCATATGAGTGATTGTTCGTCGTCCGTGTCAATGTTTTACTTTTTCGACTTCTTCTTGAAAACTACAAGCCTGAATGCTTTGATACTTGGTGTATATGTACCTTGGGTAGACCTCTCTCAGGTTTGTTTATTTCATGTTGATATCTTCAATTCTCTAATTTTGTTGAATATTTTTGGTAAAAAGTAATATTTTCGACTTCTTGTTAAAAACCGCAAGTGCAATTGCTTTGATATTACATATATAGGTACTACATGTGGACCTCTTTCAGATTTGTTCATTTTGTTATGATATCTTTAATTTTCTAATTTTGGTGAATATTTTTGTCATTTTGGGTAAAAAGTTATATTTTCGACTTCTTGTTAAAAACCGCAAGTCCAATTGCTTTGATACTACATATATAGGTACTACAAGTGGACCTCTCTCAGATTTGTTCATTTCGTGATGATATCTTCAATTCTCTAATTTTGGTGAATATTTTTGTCATTTTTGGTAGAAAGTGATATTTTTGACTTCTTGTTAAAAACTGTAAGTCTGATTGCTTTGATACTATACATATTGTTCATTTTCTAATGATGTCTTCAGTTCTTTAATGAAATGTGCATTGCTAACAGC